TGCTGAATTTATGTAATATTATCAAAAAATATAATCTTCTGGAAATAATWTTTTTTATGATTTTAATGTTTAATGAACAATCTCATTGTTATTAGGATGCATAGAACATAACATTAATATCAACCAAATGGCAAGCATGTCAAGCATTTCATATCAAAACAAGTTTTTTTTTGGACAGTTGCAGAGCTAACATATCTTTAGAAGAAAAATCAAGATTTAAGTTTAAACTTCTTAGCAGCAGAAACAAGCTGGGCCTTTGAAACGTCTGAAAATCTTATAGCTTCAAACATTACTGAGATGATTTTTTTTGCATCTTGCACTGTTAGGTAATCTTCTGAAAGTGAAAAGAAAATTAGAGTAAAATAAATGAAGAAATAGATTACTTCAACAAATTTAATCAACTTGAGATGTGTATATTTTTGTAATAATATTGTCATAAATATCTTTTCACTATTTCACTAAAGTTGTTGAACATTTTGCCATCAATACTTAAAGAATTTCAAATCTAATTTAATGAACTCTGAAAATACAGTCATCGTTGTAAAGATAAAACATCACCTTCTTCATTTTCAGGTGAATCACTTGGTATATCTTGTGTCTCATCTTCATCACTAATATCATCTCCTCCATCAATACTATTAGGAATAATTGTTGTTTCAGGTTGTTGGTAATCCTTTATGGCAATTCTTTTCTTTTTTTTGCGTTTGTCTTCATCACTAGTTATATCCATTGTTTCATCTTCTCCATCACTACTGTTAGGGGTATTTACTTTTTCAGGTTGTTGGTTATCCTTTTCAGCCATTCTTTTTGTTTTTCTGCGTTTGTCTTCCTGAAATAAAAAGCAACAGTGCAGATTAAATAAATAATTTTAATAGATTAATCTGTTACTTATAGTTACCGTTTTATACGACCTTATCTACAAATTAGAGGCATGTCGGAATTATGCGCGAAAAAAATAAAAATTATGCGGAATTTTTTCCCCATATTATGCGGAGAAAAGGGTGAATTCTATCTCGTCATCAGTCCTACGTCACTACGGAGTAACATGAGAAGCACGCGCGCTTGCTTCGAGCCATTGTACGTTCGCTTTCGTAGCCTACACAAGTACGTCCACTCGTCAGTGAAAATCTACGCTCTTTACTACTTAAATCTCTTGGTTTCGTGAGTATAATACATACAAAACCACTTGTTATTGTTGCTACTATCTTTGCTTAATTCATTTTTAGCGTTATTAGCATCAACTTTATCATGACCGACCAGAACATACATGTACCCACCGTCGAAGAGGGCACAAATGTTTCACAGCCGTTAGTAAGCCACCCTGGCCCTTCTGGTGTTCAACATGAACAATTAAGGCAACCTGCCGACATACTTAGCCAACCTGGCTCACAACTGAGTGCCACACTCAATAACATGAATCAATCCATGAGCGGTATGGCGGATTTACTTCGACAACTGATCGAAGAAAATCGCGCTCACCGCCAACAACGGCCTCGCAGAGCTTCACTGGGTCTCTCCGACTCGGAGGACGACTCTGATCATCCTCCCTCAAAGAGAAGGAGAGCGGATGATGAAATAAGTTTGGCCCCCTCGGATGAGGATAYACATGCACTAGTGCATCCCGATGACGATGAACCCAACGTTGGGAAGAACACGGCCGACACCGACAAAGACCAGCAAGAGTCAGATTTTCTAAAGAGCCTCGAGGCTGAATATGCTGACTCAGAGCCGCTGGGCCCTAAGATTAASGAGARCCTGGCAAACATTGCTAGGAAACGGTGGGGAGTTTCGCTTACAGCGGAAAAACTCAAGCCCACGTTAGCCAAACACTCTCAACCTGAAAACGTTGAGCTTCATGTTCCAAAGGTTAACCTTGAAATATGGGATCCCCTGGCAAATCACCAGCGTCGAGCGGATCTCCGCCTCAAAAATGTCCAGCAGGCTTTACAGAAAGCAACATTTGCTCTGTTAAGGTCTTCCGATTACCTTGTCGGCGACAAAAAAGAAACAAGCAAAACGATGTTGTCCCAAAACATCGACGCCATTGTCCTTTTAGGTCATGCTGTGGGTGATATCTCTGCCCTACGGCGCGAAAGGATAAAACCTACTCTGAAACCGGAGTATGCCTCCTTGTGTAACAAGGAGACTGAGGTCCCAGAAGCCTCAAAACTTCTCTTTGGGGACGACCTTCCAAAGAAAGTCCGGGACGCCAAAGAAACCAACAACATTAGCAAGAAAATTGGCGCCAATTCTACCGGACACCGCCATCATGGATCCTCGGGTACCAGCTATGGTGGTTACAATACGTACCGTCACCATGACGGTTCTAAGGGTAAGAAAGCC